TACTAAATTTATGTGCTTTAGTTTTTAGATAAAGCTTATAACCCTATTCACGTATAGTCGCAATGGTTGGATTCCATCTACCTGGAGACCCCTATTACCCTAATCAAGGCAAAGAAGGATGGGTGGAAGATGATCCAGAAGAGGATGAGGAACCCATGGAAGAGGAAGAAGAGGAAGGCTCTGATGGAATAGACTCAGAACCAGAGCTAATCAACCCACCAACCATCCGACCTCCTGCTATTAGGAGAGATTTTCAGGGACCAACTCCCGTATGGGGAAGCCACATTCACCACTGGAGCCCGCAACAAGGAGTGTGTCCTCCCTACAACATGTGTCGGGACTTCTACAACATCAGCAATGGAAGTTCAGCTGACCAAGCAATCCCAATCATTGTAGGCAATCTAGCTAATCGATCCTACCAATCAGGAGTCTTGGCAAACCGAATTCATGAAGTCAACATTGAGGTGCAAGGTAACACTACCGACATTCGTCGCCTTGACAGATTGCAGGAAAATGCCCAACTTCACACCGACGCACTCCATGATCGAATGAATACAACCCTCGTTGAGGTATGAGAAATGAGGAAGCAGCAAGCCACCTTTGAAAGGCGTCTAATGGGAACCAAGTAATTAGATGCAGAGTCTAGCTCCAATCGCAACTCGCCTCGCAAGTAGTACTTGCCCGACTCCCAAATTTTTTGTTATAGAATAGGATCTCAGCTAAAAGTCTTACTTTTCTCTAAATTTTGTAAATCGGAGACCTTTAGAAAGGCTAAAATTTTCCTAACTCTAGAATGTAACCCAATATATGTTTAATATAATGAAGTATTTCTTTTATGTGTTAATTCCTTGCATACCACTCGAATTCATAAGTTTATCTATAAACTCTTATTATGAATCAAACTCAAAAACCTTGTTTAGGTCGAACCTAATTCTTGAAATGTTGAAAATAACTAACTCATTAACACATGACTTTCAATCATCTGAGACTTTTTGTCTTTAATTATTTCTTTGATAGCACGATGGCTCCTCATAGGTCAACATGCCGAAATGCAACACCAACACCGCCATCACCACCTCCAACTTACGATCCAGCTATGGTACTGGCTGCCATCACCGCAGCAGTAGCGGTTGCGCTATCCCAAATAATCTCTAATGGAGCTGGGGGGAGCGGGAGTCGTACCAATCATCAGAACCATGGCGCTGGTCATGGTCATGTTAGGGAATGCACCTACAAAGAATTCTCGAACGCCAAGTCGAAAATGTTCAACGGCACTGGAGGAGTCATTGCACTTATGCAATGGTTTGAAAAGACCAAGACGGTCTTTTAAATCTATTCATGTCAAGAAACAAGCAAGGTCAAGTTTGCATCTTGTACCTTCACACACCGAGCCCTCACATGGTGGAAGGGCCATGTGAAATCCGTATCCCTTGCAATCGCCAACGTCATGAGCTGGGAGGACTTGAAAGTCCTACTGCTAGAAGAATACTGCCTGAGGGGCTAAATTCAAAAACTGGAGCAGGAACTATGGAATTTGAAAATGGTTGGTTTTGCCCTAGCTGCCTACATGGCCAGGTACAGTGATTTGTCAGCCCTATGCCCGGGAATGGTCAACCCGGAGTCGAAGAAAGTGGAAAGATACATATGTGGGTTGTCGCCCCAGATTCAAGGGCATATCTTAGCCTCCAACCCAGTAACATTCAACAGCGCAAAGCGCCTAGCACAACGCGTGATCGATCACGGAGTCAAACAGGGTACTACCGCAGTTACTGCTAACCCACCAAAGGAAATGCAGAGCCAAAGGAGACCTTGGAACAAGAGAAGGGGGGAAACCCATCAAGAGAACCCTAAGAAATAGCAGACAGTGACAACTCATGTTGTTACTGTCCCTATTACCCCTACACCAACAAGCTCATACAACGGCCAATTGCCAAAGTGAAACCGGTGCAACTTTCATCACCACAGACCTTGACGTGAGTTTCAGTGCACCCGGTGCGACAAGAAGGGACACACCATCCGCTTCTGCAAAGAACCAACCCAACCAGCCGCTCCATCCACGAATGTCGAGGTAGGCCGCACCTGCTTCGAGTGCGGAGCTACATGATACTTCCGAAGGGATTGCCCGAAGGCAAAACAACATGAAGAAACAATGAATCGAGAATGTAACAAATCAGAGTAAGTAAGTATGGAGGATTGAACACCCGATGCAAATATACTCTCGTTTCAGCTTTATTACACTCTCAAGTGTTTACAGAGTACAAAGATAAGTTTTGTAAAACTCTCTCTCCTATAACTCAAGTAAATGTTCCTATTTATAGGAAACAGAAAGCGTACAAAAAATACTAAGGCATTAATACTAAGCTTCGAATACAAGTACCTTAGTAAATATATAACATATCATACGAAGGGGAATATAATAGACTTCGACTAATTACAACTTACATTTACTCTTACAATCTCCCCCTTTGTAATAATAGTCGAACTCCTTAATTTTGTGAGAAGCTGAATGGAATACAACATCACCCTTCGTATCTCGATGAACCAAGATATGATCTTCTTAAGTTCCTTCCTATCACCTTCTTTATTCTTCTTGCAATGATTCATACGAACAATTAAGTTTATATATTGAGATGTTGAATAACTTTCAACTTCACATGCCTGGAACAAAAAACACTTTGCTTTTCTAGCTTTGTCCTTTCATGTAAAGACCATTCCAAAAGGCTTCAAACTAATCTCTTTGTCAGCATACTTTTTCAGGTCATTTTGTGTCTTCGTAGTTGCCATTGGAGCTTTTATTTGCATTCCCTTAGCAGTTTTTAATTCAACATCATTCAGTGCCAAGCACTCATAATAATTTTCAATGAAAATCTTGATGTGAGCAACCCAAGCTTGAATTCATCAGGGCCAGTATTTTGAAGATACGAAAATTATTTAGCCTTTAGAATCAATGCAACTTGTATAAGATCATACTAGTTCATCAATGGAAAATCTGCAATGGTAAAGTCACACACATTTCCATTTTCCCTGGCCACTACATACTTAACATTTTAAACTGTGTTTTCAAAAACCACATCCTTCTTTATACTTATCACCTTTTTAACCTTGACCAAAGACTAGAATCCCTTAGCAGATTTGGCAAGAACAACATGAAATCGAATCTTCATCTGTCTACCTTCATTTTTGTCTTTGAAATTTCCTTCTGCTTTGAATTGACGCATGATAAACATCATCTCATTCATCGGAAAGTCTAGCTGACTTACATCAGTATTCGAAACAATGTAGCTCTACTTTGGTTCCTTTTCGAATGAATACATATCATTGAATGCAACTTTGGCTTCGATTGTTTCGTAATTGTAATGTTTTGATGGATCACCTTTATTCAAACCTGGTGGATCACTTGCTCGTTCAGTCATGATGCTTTGTACTAATCTCAAATTTTCTATTTCGGTTTCAACGTCAGCCTTCTTTTCCTCCTTTGATTTTTCCACTAGAATGGTTTTTCCTTTGTCTTTCGAAGCATCATCAGTTATAATGAGCTTCTTACTACACCCACTAGTAGATTCACCAATGACAACTCTTTTTGTGACAGGTTTTGAAATTGGCATTGTTGTGACCATTGTCGAAGTAACTGTCCGGCAAAATATAAAATTGTTTTTGTTGTAGGGATCTTCGTAGCAAACACCTTTCCCACAACTTTTTCATCTGCATCAGTAGCCTTCGCGTCTCCAACCTTTCTTTCTCCCCCTTTCACCCCTGTGAAAACAGGCGGGGCATCGGTGGTTGGTAAAAAGCTTGATATCCTGGAAAGAGGGGCCAGTTGCTTGTGTAGAATGGCTTCAAATTGAGTGAATTTGTTAGAAAAAAGTTCAGGAGTGATCAATGAAGATGAAACTGGCTTCGTAGATAACTCTTTGAACTCCTTCAACATATTGATGATGTATTTTATTCTCCATTGTAGAAAGTTGAGTAAGTTGAGGACTCATACCTTCGTACAATTTTACAAATCGTGTAACAGCATCAAAAATAATATCAACCTTCTGATTTGGTGATGCATAATCATGTTGAACTGAAACAACTTCTCTTTTCAAATCTTCACGAAGCTCACAAATTTGCAAATTTACATCTTCTTTGACTTTCTTTACATCTTGAACAAATAAAATATGCCTTTCCTTCACCATTTGTTTCAAAGTCTTTACTTCACCCAAAAATGTCGAACTCTGAGAATTCACCCTTAACTCATTATTATGATCATGATGATCAATCTTCTCCACAATGCGTGATTCTGAATCTCTAACCATCCCAGACACTTTACTCACCACCTTTGCTTCAGCATTTTCAGCATCGAATCAACTTCTAAAATTGAAACAGATAAACCACCCCCCCCAAATTAGCTTATAATTGATGTATTGAATTTAACTTTGTATTCAAAAGTTTAAACTGTTTCATTGTCATGAGCATATGATCTGGAAAATCTTCTTCTATGTCATCAAATTCCAAGTCCTCAAAGGTTCCTCCAAAACCCTCATTATCTATATCAGTTTCCATGAAAGTTGAATCTTTTGTAGGATAATTGGTTTTGGGTGAATCAATGGATTGAGAAGAGAAAATGGAAGTAATTGGTTGATTGAGAATGTTTTCAAATGTGGGTGATTCTATGGTTAAAGTGGTTGGTGTGACTTTTGGAGGTAAGGAAACAACAGAATGAGGATTACCTTGAGCTTCCTTCTTCGCATCTTCTTCCCCCATGGTGATATGTACATCCGTATGAGATACGTTTTCATTGATGTCTGAAGTTTTTACCTCCTCATGAAATGACTTGGTAGACGAATCTTCGGGTGGTATAACTATTGTTTGCTCTGTATTCAAACTTTCCTTGTGAATATTAGCTTCAGGTGTTTCAGGAATTCGTTCATTTTCATCTTCTGTTGTTTCAGTTGTAATAATGAGCTTGCATGTTTTCTTCTTCTCCCTTTCAAAAATTTGTTTGGCCATATCCTCAACTAATCTCTTCTTTGATAATGGAGAAACTGGAGCTGGTTCTTCACGAAAAACGACCCTTGATGAGTAAGATGTGGCTTTTGTACTACATTAAGTGTTGGAGTCCTTCGTTTATGTTTAGATTTCATCTTTATCGTGTGAAATACACCAGTAATCGAAGGAATAACAATTTTCTCTAGAGTTTTGTCTATAACAGGCTCAATTGGAATAGTTTCTTCAACAGACATTGTTGTCACCATGGGCACTTGAACTTCAGTAGTCTTCTTCTTTAAAGATTTCTTTGGTTTGGTTTCAATAACAACCTGTGCAGAAGGACCATACTCATTCTTCTTCGAACATCTGAATTTCTTATCTTCCTTCGACAAAAAGATCCCAATTTGAACATTTGGATCAATATTGTTCAAGTAGGCCACCAAAACTTCATTTAAAGGATCAACACATCGTAACATCGCATCCGGAATACGAGCAGCAAACATAAAAACTGTTGCATCATCTGTCATGTTCTTCGGATAATCGTAAGTATAAAACTCATCCTTCACTTTATCAGCATTTACAAAATTCCTTCCTTCTCATAAAAATATTGTAAAATCAAGCTCCAATACCTAGCACACGAAACGCCTTGAACATCATTCGTGTTCTCCACACTCTTTTGGAATTCCTTCCAAAGTTGTGTCGAATACTCCACTGGAATATCATAGTATAGCCCTGCTACCATGGCGTATACCTCCATCTGGCCCTTGTCAAGACCAACAGTCCGACCTGTCAAACACCTCAAAAAGATCCCAAAAGAAAGTTCCAGACACTAGGAAGACCCGATTTCTTGAAATCACTGATCTTGGTTAGTTGTGGTTGGTGTCCCATCTCATTGAACATATGAACGATTTGGAGAAATTGTAGATCAATGTAGGGTGGAGAATTGGGGATTTCCAATCTTTGACAAAAGAGTTTCATGGTGAGTCTAACCTTTTTGTCATTCACATGATTGAAAGTGATGACATCCAGAGCTTTGTTGTACGTAGCAGTAGATCCTGCTTGAGATAACCATGATAGAGGAACAACAAATGATCGGAACATAGCCTTGGACAAAACGGAACATTGTAAAGCAACAACCAACATCTTAAGTTCTTTGGGATAAGTAGAAACATTAGCCTCTACTTGGTAATTAGTTCCTTGAATTTTCATGATCGACAATGAAGTCACATCATCAGTGTTTTGAGAAGGAACATTAGCAGAAGTCGCCATTGTTAGGGTTTGAAAGCTTTGAATATCAGAGAGAATTTGAGATTTTTTTTAATCGCTTAAAATGTTAATTAACCATTGAATCCCATTTTATATGTAACACTGAAGTTTGAATTTGAAGCGGGATGTGCATTAAATGAATCCTACGTGGCACCTTGAAACTCACTCCAGTAGCCCGACAAAATAGCCATGCGTGAAAAAGTAACTGTCACGTCTCCTTGGAACCTGGACAAAATACCATACGCCACCAGAACAACAGGCTGTATTGATTACCCCAATAGAATAGGAATCGTCATCATCCTTCGAATGAAAGTTAGGTTCTTTCACTCTTGGGTTTGAAAGCGAAGTCATATGCCAGATGTTTGAAATCATCAGCCTGAGTTGGTATTACTAAGAACCGCAATAAGTTCGTGAGTGCATTGTTTAAAAAATAGATAAGAAGCAATAATAAGAAAATTTTGGAAGTCAGTGAGGTCAATCAATTTTTCGACATAAAAGCAATCAACACCCCGGGCAAAGGTTAGTTCATTAATAATCAAGAAAGATGATTAATTGCTTGTGAATGTTCCTGTGAAATACCATCGAATACTTGTAAAGAAGTATCAAATGGCTTCTTTTATTTGGCTTCTTGGGTATCTATAAGAATTTCTTTACATATCAACCTAAACATAAGGTGAGAAATTGTAACAGAAATGACTTGTTTGACCAGTGTACTCAGTGACAAGTTTGCTTTGAAAAATTTTTAAGTGACTTTCGATTTCAAATGAAACTCACACTAAAATCATATTAAAAAATTGTGTTGGATCTTGTTGGGTAACAACCATCGTGGGTTTCGAATATTTAATCAAGACCACTCATCCGAAGTGAAGATGATTTGGAGTTTCGAATTTAAGGTACAAAAACAAATGTTTCGTTAAATCTGGAACAAAGTTAACCATCAATTCCTTACACATTTTTAGAGAATCGGGTTTCACTTTCATCAGGCCTCATGATGTCAGATCATAAGCACAAATTTTTGATATGTCTAAGTCTCGATTGGTTTGATCAGAGAACTCTTTGATGTATATCTTTGTGTGTGATTGTGTAAGACACGAAATGTACCTCTATTATATTAGGACAAAACAGTAAACCCTTAACTCATGTGAGAAGAGTTACGTAGCTCAGGAGACTAATATGAATACAAGCCTGATTGGGAAGAAATCTTCGTATGAAAAATTTCATTAAGGCTTTTGTACACACATATTGAGTCAATGGAGGCATCGGTTAACATGCTGCAACATGCATCTAAGTATAACTTAACTAGTTCAAAGTATTCGAAAATTTACCTGACCCTAGAACTGCAAGCATTCTCCAAGTAAAATCATTATTAATATCTACAACAAAGTACTAGAAAGAAATAAGAAACAAAATATTTTTGTTGTTTTTGATTTTTCAAAAATAAAAAGAAAAAATCTTTTTGGATTTTTAAATTTTTCAAAAATTAAATTACGAAACAAACAAATATATTCTTGAATTTTTGATTTTTCAAAAATTAAATGATAAAACAAATGAAAATCTTTTTGGATTTTTGATTTTTCAAAAATTAAATGACAAAACAAATGTATTTATTGCAGACATACGAAACTTTATCAGTCCTTAAAAAATGACAAATCTACGAATACAAAACATTCGAAGCGTTGACCATGAACAGTAGCATCTGAATACTAAATAACATTGCATTGCATTTCATTCAGCGCCATTGAATCATTCTTTGTCCACCATCATTTTTCCTTTTCGCATGGAACAGAATTTCCATCGATCATTCCAAGTCTTTCTTAAATTATTACAAAGGATTTTTCATCTAAAGGTTTCGTGAAAATATCAGGTAACTGATAAGTTGTTTTCACAAAATGTACTTCAATATTCTCATCCTCCACATGATCGTTGATGAAATGATAAAGAAAGGCTATGTGTTTAGTCTTCGAATGCTGCACAGGATTATGAAAAATTCTTATTGCTCTTTGAGAATCACAATATAATGGAATCTTTTTCATATTAATTGCATAATGATGCAATTGAATTTGGATCCATATAATTTGTGATGTGCAAGCAGCAATAGCCACATATTCAACTTTAGCAGTGGAAATTGATACACACGTTTGCTTTTTCGACTGCCAGCTCACCAATTTTCCATCAAGCAATTGACATCCTCCACTTGTGCTCTTTCTATCAATATCACAACCTCCCAAGTCTGCATCCAAATAAGCTTGAACAAAGAACCCAGTTTTTGAAGGATACCACAATCCTAACGAAATTGGTCCCTTAAGATAACGAAATATGTTCTTTATAGCCGTGAGATGTGGTTCTCGTGGATTTGACTGATACCTGGCAGAATTACACACATAAAACATGATATCAGGTCTAATAGATGTAAGATAAAGTAATGAACCAATCATGCTCCTGTAAAGGGTTAGGTCAACTGCAGGTTTATCTAATGAAGGAGTCAGCCTTATGCCAGTTGCCATTGGAACTCATAACTTTGTGCTATTCGTCAACCCAAACATTTGCAGCAGAGTCTTCGTATATTTCTATTGGTTGATAAAAATTCCTTCTCTGCTTTGTCTAATATTTAAACCAAGAAAATTATTTATCTTTCCCATCATCACTACTAGAAAAAAGGCCTTTTACGACGCTCATTGCGCGTCGTAAAACGCTTAGACGACGCGCAAATGCGTGTCAAGGAAGGCCCTGTCATAAAGAGAGACGACGCGCATTTACGACGCGCATTTATGACGCGCATTTACGACGCGCGGTTATGACACGCAATGCGTATCAAGGAAGGCCCTGTCATAAAGGAAGACGACACGCATTTGTGTGTCGTAACCTTACGACACGCGTGTTTATGACACGCAATGCGTATCAAGGAAGCCCCTGTCAAGAAAGGCCATGTCATAAATAAAGATGACACATTTTTGCGTATCATAATTTTAAATGTTTAAAAAAAATATTATTTATAGATTTACTAATTTTTCATATTAAATAATACATTAGAAATCTCATAATAATAAATAAAATACCATAAATAACAAAGATAATTCATTTCACTAATATGTCAAATACAAATAATTATTCCAATAGTGAGTAAATGTTATAAAAAATGAACTCATTTATATACAATTGCATTATCTAGCTTACTATGTGCCAACAACTTCTATCTTTTTCCTTCTCTGCATAAACTTCATTAGCAGCATCCTAAAGAACTTTATCTTTTTCATCAGCAACATCCTCAAAAACTTCTATCTTTTTCCTTCTCTGCATAAACTTCTATCTCACACTCAATGTAGTTTTAAACATCAGGTTTAAAAAATCAACTTTAAGGTTGCCTTGTTAAAGAGAATGACTAGAATAGATTTCCCTTTTTCACAAGGCATGTGCTTGCTTGCACATATATATGGAATCATTCTAACAAAAAAAAAACTGTTCATGTCAACTACTCCAAGGACTATTACGTAATTTAACATGAAGAATTTTGTCCAGATGAAAGGATTGACTTTAAACTTTATAAAAATCATTTAACAGAACTTACCTGACCATGAAGCGTGTTGATCCAGGATCTCCTTGCCTTCCTGCTCTGCCACGAAGATTTGTAAAGCAAGAAATAAATTAAAAAAGTGAGTCTGAAAGTATATGCTAAATTTATGTAAAACCTTAAAACACAATACTGATGCAAAGTTACCTGATTATCAATTCTTCGGGACTCATGCAGAGATGTCCCAATGACATGGAGACCACCAAGTCGTTTGACTTCCAATCCTTCATGAAAGCAATGAATCTCACAGTCCTTTAGAACCGATAAATAGGCAATTGCAATGCAAGGACCAAGAGGGTACATCTCTGCCTGTTCTTCCACAAGCCTTTGCAGTTCATCTAAACCCATTGACTGGCTCATTTCAATTGACTCTGAAATTATAGATTTTGCCTTCTCATATGTCCAACTCTTGTTCTCACTTTTGCCCACGTATTTAGCTGCGTTATTTACCCAAAACCATATACCATTCACATTAACGTTAGGGCCAAATGAAAGAATAGCTACCTATTTCTAATTACCAGCATCCTACTCTCAGTACAACATCCTAAAAAGAAAAAAAAATGAAAGTATACAGCTATAACCATAAGTGGTATAGTTTTCAAAGTACAGTGCCTTATGAAAGATATCTTTTTTAAAGAGTATGCTAGTATGGTAGAAAGCAATGAAAGTAGGATGCTATAACACACAAATAGATGAAAACAAGTAGTTATTGTTACTTGTTATATTTTTAGCCCATAGAAAGTGAATACTTACTTCAGTTTTTGCAGTTCCTGTCATCCCTGAAAGCTTTGGATAAAGCTTAAACATTGATTGGTATGTGATTTGTGCCACTACAACTGAATCAGCCTGCAAAGCCCAAGAGGAATACAAGGTAATAGCTTTAAACAAGAGTTGTCAAAAAGAATGATGATGTGGCAGGCAATCGCAATATATACCTGGATTGGTAACCCTTCTTTTGCCTCCACAACCAGGTGAATCCCCTCTGACCATCGTCTTTTTTTTCCACTCTCCCCGTCAACTTCAAATGAACATTAATTTACAGCAATATAACTAGTTTTTTCTCCTAAAATAAAAATACGATGTTTTTAATACCTCGTTTATTATAAGAGCTTTCCATTTTTAACAATGTACTGGACATCTTGGCGATAGAACTCCCATTTTTAACAATCTGCAGCTCCTCCAGCCATTGTGCCCAACATATACAGATTAATTTCAATGATTTTTTTTCACAGATTGAGATGTTGCAAAAAAAAAAAACAAAAAACAAAATTAAACGAGTGTTTTTGAAGACTATTTAATGCTTTCAAATCATGTTGCTTTCGATTCATAATTAATTATTAATCAAGTAAAGATATATTATAATTTAGAAGGAGAAATGCATACATATATAGCCTCCCATGCTAGCTCGGGAATCTGCAGCAACCATCACACCTTCCTTAAAAATAAAAGCCAAAGTTGTTGTTCCTTTTGCTGGTTTTACCATTTGGATAGAATTCTTCTGAAATCCATCAAACTGAAGCAAAGGATTTGATGTAGTGTTTTAGCAATATATACATTCACTTAATATCTAGCAGAAAGGAAAAGAGAAAAAGGCAAGAATTGTAAAGAAACTCACATCTGATGTAACTGGTAGGTCAAATGAAGGGGCATCAGAAAGCAGGTCGTCACTTCCTCCATAGAGTGGTGCACTTGTGCAGTTTAATCAGATGCAAAATAAATCGCATACGATAATAATTACCTTTGATGAGCTGCAATACATCTTATACTCCAAACCATTCACCACATGTACGCCTTCCATGACAGCTGATATAGCAGAAGATTCATCAATACCTGAGAATTGGCATTTATTTCTGCATGTAATTAGGAAACAAATTAAATATGAACATAAATAGATACTTATTTACTCAATGTCATAAGAAGTATTAATATTTATTAGTTATTACCTCTGCAACATAATACCAGAATCCTTTTTTCCAGGCACAACAGAAAGAAAACCATTGTGAAGATAAGTTGAAAAATTATGATCCACAGAAACCGCAACCACATCAGTCTTTGCATTCCCAACATCCATCAGTTGAATGGTTAAACAACATGGGCCAGATGACTGCAAAAAAATAAGGAAAAATAAATAAATAAACCAGAGTTCTTACAGGATACAGAGACTGCTACATATGATTATACAGTAATAATTTATGTTTATTGTTATTGCTATTGTTACTCTACCTTCACTGTTTTTGTTTTTGTTAATGTTATTATTCCTGTTACCTAAGTGTTAATGTTATTGTTTGACTGCTTTCTGCAACCATAGTTATCAGATTTGTGAGCAAAAATAAAGATAAATAAGCTTACCTACCATTAAGCCAGGATAAGAGTTTAGGGCATCAATGGAAGATGTCTCCTGGATTTTATTACCTCCTGGACACACACCATAAATTTTCAATAACTTGGTTCCAAATACATACCTGTAAAGGGTATGTTTGTAAATTGTGTGTTAAACAACCTCAAGAGGTCCAACAAAAGAATTGTTGAAAACATGGAATATGTAAAGAACCAAAGTCTCAAGGGCATAAGTTGATATGAGCCCATGGTGAACACCAAGTACGCGGCACTCATAATAACACCAGGCTTTGATTAGTATAATGCTCCTCTTAAACAAATGGTTATGGTTTATCAGATTATCAACCTCCTCAAGAAAGCAAAGGGTACACAATCCTCCAAGTTGATTAAAAGATATATCTACCATAATGTTTTCAACAAGGCACTTTATAATCTTCACCTGTAGTTAAACAAACCATAAAGAAATCAGCTTGTAAACAAGTTGAGAAAAAAGATTGATAAGGGGGTGTACCTCAATCAAACACAAATTAAAATTTGCACAAGGCACTTTAATTTATTATTACCAACCATTTAAATCCCCCATTCTTTGCATTTATCAATACATTTGATTGCCAAAGCAGCCTCCTCTTGAAGCTGAAACTCACAGAAAACATTAGGGGTGTATATGTCTTTTGTGTTCTGGCATATAAAAAATGATAAGGGGGTGTACCTCAATCAAACACAAATTAAAATTTGAAGGGTAAATTAGTAGCTTCTTCATCACTGCATACTTGTATTATGGACGGACAATCAATCACCTCTTAAGTTACCTAAATGCTTTGCATTTGAACTCATCAGCAACGGTTTGTCATCATAACCTCCAAACATATCTGAATGTGATACCTGATATTTCTCAGTTGTATGATATTGTAAAGGTGAAACACTATTTGTAAAACCTGAATTATGTCTGTCAAAGTTATCTACATAATCAAATTTCAGTTCTTTGTGGATATTATTTGAAGGTCCAGTCATAAGGCCATGAGATTGTTCACTAGCACATTCCTTATTCATTGTTATGCACTTCTTTTCATATTGAAAAAACATGTGGACTAAATTCATAAGTGTCTATAAGGTTCTACTTATAAATCTTTCTATTTTCTGTTTTTGTAGTGCAAGGCATAATATAAACCTGGATAGCAGCAGTTAAAGCATGACCAATGTGTAGAGCTCCAGTAACATTAGGAGGTGGAAGAACCTGCATTTACACATAAACAAGACATCCATAACCAAATTACATTAATCAATGGTTTTTTACAAGCCACAAGCCACAATCCCAAAATCAATCTGTTTAAAAAGGTCTATAGAAACGTCACTGTTTATGAACATTTATAGACACGAAATAGCAGAGAAAATCACAAGAGACTCGTGATGGTGAAAGGAGGTTTAGAACTAAAACTCAGAATCTGTGATTCCAAAGTCATGATAGGCTCTGTTTTATTTTCAATTCCATTTCCATCCATATTGTCTGTAACAGCAGGAACTCATTGGAGGGAAGCTTCTAACGCATATGGAAGCCTTAACAGAACCTTTCGCCTCTTCACCATCATTTATGTTTTTCTCTTCTGCTTATAGAGATGCTTCCATAAGCACTGATAAGCCTCACTTCTACTCTCTAAGCATCTCAAACTATGCAGGTTTCAATGGCGATTTCCTTATCATTCCACAGTCCTCACTTCTACTCTCTAAGCATCTCAAACAATGACACTTGTGAAAACCTAACCGACATATGTCATTGAATTAATATAATTTAGCACAGAAGATTGTATCTTGAATAAATGGAATTTTGGTTTAGGAAAAGGTGAAACATCCGAACCCTAACGCACCTAAGAAATCAAACAAGAAGAATTAAAATTAGGGAGAAGGAACAAAGCATACCTGAGATGCTTAAAGAGTAGAAGTGAGGGCTGTGGAATGATAAGGAAATCGCCATTGAAACCTGCATAGTTTTTGAGTTAGGGTTTTCACAGGAGAAGATGAGAAGATCCAAAATCGAAATCAAAGCTATGAATAGAGGAGAGATTAAAGAAATAGAAGAACAAAAACATTAGGAAGAGAGAATAAACATAGCATATCTTAGTCACGCTAGGGTGTGGAAATTTGAGCAGTCTCTGACGAGGTCACATGAGCCCGAGGTCGCCGGAGGAAAATACCCCTAAGGTCGTTGAAGGAGAAGTGAGCAAAGATGTTGCCGACGAGGTGAGGCGAGATCATCGATCGATTGTTGCAGAGGCCAGAGAGCACCAAGTGTTTCCGTTCTTGAAAAAAAGCCCTAGTCCCTGCGATTTTGTGGAATTTAGTAGTATTATCCTTGCTTGTCTTCTTCTTTTCTTCTTAAATCTAAATAACAATCTCTATGAAATCGCAGGTTGGCTTTTTAGGTTAGAGAGAGAGAGAGAGATAGATAGATTGATAGAGAGAGAGAGAGAGGAAGACGAAGAGGAGCGGGTTTTAATTTTCACATGGAATAGGCGGGGTTTTAATTTTTGGGGATTTCATTTCCCCCTTTCAAGAACGCGCCTTTTGAGTAAAACATAAAGCGACATTCACAGAGGGCGCACATTTTAGATAAAGTGCCCTCCGTGTTTTTATTTTTTTACATGAGACACTAATCTAAGGGCACGCAATAATGCGTGACATAAATCCTTAAATTTTTTGAAGAGATGACACTTTTTTAATATCACTCCCTTTTGCGTAACATAAATCACCGAGTGTCGTGGTTTGCGCGTCGTTAAAGGCTCTTTTTCTTGTAGTGCATGCTCATTTCAAACTTACTTTTCATTAAATCTTCAAATTATCTAGACAAGACAGGGTTAGTTGAGCCAAGATTAATATCATCAACATAAATTCGAACAAGCATTAGATGATTCCCAACTTTCTTACGAAATAATGTGTGGTCAACTGATCCTTGTTTAAATTTAGATTGCTTCAAGAAAGAAGTAAGAGTTGCATACCATGCTCGTGGTGCTTGTTTTAACCCATAATATGCCTTATCTAAGATATATACATGATCAGGATGTTCTTCGTTAATAAAACCTAGGGGTTGTTCCATGTAAACTTTTTCTTCAAGCTCTTCGTTTAGAAGTTCACACTTCACGTCCATTTGATAAACATCAAAGTCTTTGTGAGCTGCATAAGCCAGAAAAATACGAACAGCCTCGAGTCTTGCGACATGGGCGAAGGTTTCTTTATAGTCGATTCCTTCTTGCTATGAATAACCTTTAACAATAGGTCTGGCTTTGTTTCTAATGATATTTCAATCTTTATCGGTTTTATTTTTGAAAATCCAGTTTAACCCGACAATCAAAACATTTTCAGGTTTAGGAATTAATCTCCAAACCTTGTTTCGTTCAAATCCAGACAGTTCAGATTGAATTGGGACAATCCAATCTAAGTGTTCCATTGCAATCTTAACATTCTTTGGTTCAATTTTAGAGATGAAAAGATTACACATGCAAAATTCTTGATGAGTATTCAATACCTCATTCTTTGCACGAATTTGAGCTCTAGTCAACACTCCATCTTGTGGATTGCCGATTACTTGTTCCTTCAGATGATCTCTTATAGATTTTTCCATTGGTGGATAAGCTGGATCAAAATCTAAAGGTGCATCTTCGTATAAATCATCATTCTCTGAACCTGCAATTGAACATTTATCATTAAATTCATGATTGTTTTCATTATTTCCTGAGTGCTCCCCCTCAACATGATGATTATCCCCTTCAACATCAGCATTCAATCTCTCATTCCCCCTAGAAAGAATGCTCCCCCTCAACAAAAGTATTTGAATCCAAGTGCTCCCCCTCCACTGGATTATCTGGCATACTTTCGCCTATCTCTGGAGAATTTGATGTTGAATTATCTGAAAACTTCGTTAGTTCAGAAATCTGATTATCATTGGCTTTAATTTCAGCATCAGCAGCATGATCTGAAATACCAAAAATTAAATCATAATCAACATCCAACAATTGTGAATGTTCATATTCATCTTGTGTTTCTTTTAGAATTGGATGATTTTAAAAATTTGTTGCCGTTCGTTTAATATAGTAATCATCAAATGTAAGATTAAAAGTTTATTCCACTTTTCTTCTTCGTTTGTTCAACACCCGATGTACAACTGAATTATGAGAATATCCTAAGAAAATCCCTTCATCTGCTTTAGCTTGAAATTTCGAAAGTTTATCCTTAAGATACATAATAAAACACATGCATTCGAAAACATGGAAAATTTTCACATTAGGTTTTTGATTGTTGATAATTTCATATGGAGTAATATTAAAGCGACGGCGGATGAAAGATCTGTTTTGAGTAAAACATGCAATGGATACTGCTTGATCCCAAAAGTATTGTGTAATAATTCGCATATGCCAGCATTGTTCGTGCGGCTTCACATAAAGATCGATTTCTTCGTTCAACTACACCATTTTGTTGTGGTGTCTATGGAGATGAAAAATTATGAGAAATACCTTTGTCCACAAAAAATGAATCAAGAACATTGTTCTTAAATTCAGTTCCATGATCACTCTTGATTTTTCGAACAATTTTCTTTAATGTGATTTCCATCTTTGTGATAAAATCAATCACGATTTGTGCAACTTTGGATTTAAGCCTGAGAAAATTGTAAATCTTCAAAAATCATCAACAATTATTAAACTACACCATTTCTTGTTGAGTGTTAATACCGTCGATTGACCACACAAATCAATATGTAATAATTCCAGTGGTTCGACAATCTTCGAATCGATCGTGATTGGATGACCTTGTTTATGTTGCTTGCCAACTTCACAAGCTGCACATAAAGAATCATTATCAACTTTAAGTACAGTTAAGCCTCTTACTAAATCTTGTACAGCAAGTTTGTTGATATTTTGAAGGTTGAAATGTGAAAGTATTTGATGCCAAAGCCAACTTATATCTGATGTAGCTTTCAAAATCAGACATACTGAAGGTTTGCTGACAATTGGTGTAACATCGCGAGTTCAGGAGTGCAAGTTCAGGGTTCAAAGTGTAAATGTGAAAGGGCAACTCGGCGAGCCCATGGGTGGACTCGACGAGTAGTGTCGCGATGCTGGTCGCGTGGTAAGTGACCAACTCGGCGAGTCCATTGGTGGACTCGGAGAGTTGGTGTTGTGTGGAGAAAACCCTAGTGTTGGAGGATGAGCCCTATATAATGAACATAAAACCCTCTCCCTAGCCTCTTTATCCTCTCTTGAAGTCCAGAAAACCTTAATGCGCGTTTTGTGAGTGATTTGAGAGCATTTGAACCTTAGAGAAGAGATTTTGGAAGAGATCTTGGAGAGTTAGGAGGCTTGGAGCAAGGGGCTTTGCTAGGATTCAGATTTCTCTTCTGTTGGAGCTTCCTTTTGAGGTATTATTTCGTTGCTTGGGTTGTTATTCATCTAGATTCATCATTTTGGAGTATTTGGAAAGAATAGCTTGTGATATTTTGAGTTTGGAGGTTAGATCTGGGGTTGCTACCTCATATCTGGAATGGAGAAGTTCTAGAGTGCATTAAAGTCCCTGTTCTTGAGTGATTGGTGAAGCCATCTTTTCCCAAACCCTGACCCTAGATTATATTATGCTTAGATCTCTTGGGATTCACGTAAAGTTTGCAACTTTACGTGAGGAATAGCTTGTGGAAGAGTAGATCTATGGATTGGAACCCCTGCATGGCTTGGAGAGCCTCTGTATGGGTTAAGAGCTAATGGTACTCGGCGAGTTGCTTGAAGGTGGGCAGGAACTCGACGAGTTGGAAGAACAACTCGGCGAGTTGGTTGAAGATAGCCTTGGACTCGGCGAGTCTGGTCTTGAGGTTCTAGCCTTTTCTGGTTAAGTTAAGAATCAGTGAGTCAAGGGATGACTCGGTGAGTTGAGATGGGATTTTCAGAGTTGAGGGACTCGGTGAGTCAGCGGGCTGACTCAGCGAGTAGGGTTAGTCATGAAATTTGACTTTGACCAAGAGTTGACCAGTTGACTTCCAAGGGCATTTTGGTAATTTTTGGTATTTATTGGGTTTAGTCTTTTGGCATTATCAGGGGTGGAGTTCGTGTCGGAGGTTGGAGCAGCGTGATCTTATCTTTTCAGTCAACGGTTGCAAGGTGAGTTATCCTCACTATATCAACAGGGTGTAAGGCACCAAGGCCGGCCCTTTATCGGATTGTAATTCTGGTATCGTTGTTATGTTGTTGCCTTGTTATGTTTGCATCTAGGTATTAGGATGGTATACGCTAGTGACCTGTTAGGTCGGTATCCTGTTTAGAGTACGTTATGATACGTGATCTGCTAGATCGGTTTGATTGAATGTGAATTGTAATATGATTGTAGGTTTATGTGCACATGGTTGTTTGACTGGGGTTGGGCTGAGGTGGGTCCTGCTTTGTGTTGTAGGCCAACATACCCCGGGCGGACCAGTTATTCCGAAGGCCCAACAAGCGGTCCGGATAGGTTGTAGGCCCCTCGAGGGTGGACCAAACGTGTCGAGGCTCGGAGAGTGGACCAGGCCGACTGAAGACCCGATGCGGGCGGACCAGTCGTACTGAAGACTCAGAGAGTGGACCAGGTGGGTTGAAGGCCTGGTGCAGGCGGACCAACCACACTGCCGACTCAAGGGACATGACTAGACTCGGAGGGTGGACCAGTTGGACTGAAGGCCCGATACGGTGAACCAGTCACACAGTAGACCCGAAATGAATGGCTGTTCTGTGAGTTGTTATGATGTAGCATGTTATGTGTGTATGCTATATGTGGTTGGTATTTTGGGGGTATCTCACTAAGCTTTCGGGCTTACAGTTGTGGTTTAATGTTTTTTTTAGGTTCTTCAGGAGACCGTGGCAAGGCAAAGGCATGATCGTACCGCTCCTCATGTTCATGTTTTATGTTATGGTTCTGGGAATACTCTGATAATAAATGTATTGAAAACCTTTTTGTAAAAATTAAAGAAATTGGGATGTTTTGAAAAGTTTAAATTTGGCTTGAATTTATGGTTGTTACAAGTTGGTATCAGAGCCTTGGTTTGAGTGAATTGGACGAACATTCGTGTGAATCTAGTCTCAAATCAGAGAGAGTTTTTAAAAGAGAATTTAAAATGGTTTTCAAAATAAGTAAAAGGAGGATGCAGAGGCAAGATCAGCCGGAGCCAGTAAGTAACCCCAAAATACCATACATGATATTTGTTTTCGAGCTTTGATAGAACAGCATGCTAGTACTAGGCTAGG